GTTACGGTTACGTTGCAGCATCCGGTTCAGAAAGGCAAAAATAGCTTTAGAAAATGAACACAAGCGGGATGCGATTTACACACAAAAAAGTGCGCGTTTGAGTGTGCGTTATAAAAAGTGCGTGTTTGAGTAAGGTACGAATAAAATTGGCAAAACTCTAAAGCGATTTTCGTCTATTGTATTTTCATCTTTTGGTTTTGTCGCAGATGCGCAAAAATAACTCCGCGTTTTAATAAATAAAGAAGGAAAAATATTGATGTTCTTAGAAAATTGAAGCTCAGATGCAAAATAAATTGTCGCACTTACGATTAACAGTTTTCAATTTGACATTCACTGCAAATTCAAAATAAGTTAACCTTATTGAAAATAATTGGAAATAAAAAAAGGTATGAATCATAATCAAGCTTTACTTGAGTCATATCAATGCCATACTTGATCATATCAATGCATTTTGGGTGAGGAATGCTTATTTGAAGGTTCAATGGAAACTAGAACGCAAGAAAAACAAAAGTCTGTATTTATGAGATCGGATCTGGGATTTTCGATGGTATCAAAAATTTTCAAAAATTTGACAAACTCTTTAGTTCGACCAATTTGATTTCTCTCCGAACAAAAAAGTTTAAGACCTCATTGCGCTATACAAATAAGCGTTGCAGTAAAACTTGCAAAAAATATGCCGTTAAAACTGTTTTGAGCATTTTCGGGAAGTTTCGACGAAAAAATTTTGCATTTTAGGCGCGCAGCCCTCCGTCTACTTAGTGTACATTGGCGGATAAAAATGTCCTAAAAAGGTACCGAATGTTATTTCGTGTTGAGTGCGTCCCCACCGCACTATATTTGCTACTGAGCAGAATCTACGGCTGTTTCATGGATGATGTCCGGATGCCACTGGAGTTTCATGAGAAATAATCGATTCGAATGGGTTGAACTTAAAAAGTTTCCGTTTTAATGGGTTGGATCTACTTAACAATCGCCCTCCCTGTGGTATCTACTAAAGAATTGCCACCCTTATAAAAAAGGCAGTAAATTAGCACTAGACCGTTGTATTTAAAATTTGAATTATGCTGTAATCTGATTGGTGAAAAAAAAAATCGACAACTTAATAATTGCCCCCTTCTTGAAGGGGGGGGGGGGGGGGCGATTGTCAAAAAGGTCCCATGTGTTATAATTAAATTATAAAAAATTTGAATGGACTGGAAATTCTCCTCCAGAAAATTAACCGGATGATAGTGATAGTCAGTTGAACTCCATTATAAAGCCCTCACTAACCAAAATGGATAAAAATCAATTATCTACAGCAAAATACACAGATTTCAGATCTGCTGTAATTTTATAGAGTAAAACATCAATTATGTAGTTTTAATTATAGATTCTAATGCATTTTGTTTTGCAAAAATTTTATACTCCATATCTTCATTAAGATATCATTACCAAAACAATCTAAAACTATTTTTTTTGTATCAAATTTCATGCAAACTGTATGAAGTTCGTATACAGATTAATGACAGATTATCTACAGATTATATACTGATAATATACAGATTATATACAGACTATAAACAGATTATATACAGACTTTATACAGACTTTATACAAATATATAGATTTTCTCAACACACTGGCCAATCAGATAATAAGATTCTTTTGAACTAAAATTATAATGCAGAATTTTCATTTTTTGTACTTTTCATTTTTGAAAATAAGTTGCAGCAAAAACTAGTAACTTTTTATTAATTTTTCTTATTTTTTAATGATTTGTTCTCAAAAAAACATTGAAGAAGTTTTGCACAAAATTATCTTTTTTTACCGCGGGAACCCTTAGGTTGCGAAATCTTAGGGTGATCTATTGAAATTTGTAGTGATCTATTGAAATTTGTAAGTAACTTTTTTCATGTAAGTTCAGCTCACAATAACACAAACAATTTTTTTTTTCAGATTTACACTTTTTGTGATCTTTTTGAAAAATAAAATCAATAATTTAGCTTTTGAATGGTCAAGTTTAAATTTACTACGACCCCTATAGTTTTTAGGCAATATGATAATTTCATACAGATCAAATTTTAGACAAACATTTTATAAAAATTAATTACAGATTATGTACAGATTACCAACAAGTTTTATTGTTTAAAGTTTATTTAATAATTATATGCAGATTATCTACAGATTATACACAGATCTTATTGAATAGAAAAAAACGATTATTTTGGCATTAAAATTCATTTGTTTTTGGTGGAAAAAAATAGAATCTATCTGTATAGAGTCGAGTATTGTTCGCAATTTGGTTGTAGATAAATCAATTATCTGCTTACGTTAATTTGTAAATTTTTCTGTATATAATCCTTTTTCATCCATTTTTGTCACTGCGGTTGGGTTATAATGAATTATAATCTGCATAGTTTTGTTTCCGATTATAGGCGAAAATTGCAGCATTTACGACATTACTCGTGGCCTACTTGGTTTTTCAATCTACTCACCATTGTACAATTCTTCAAAACTTTGTCCCTCGCAAGGGGCCGAGGAAGTTACACGACAAAATAGACGAGGTAAAAAAATTATATCTAGAATGTTCCCAAAACTACAACTATGAGAATTTAGACATTTTTGAGCAGTTTACGGGCGTGAAATTACTTTGCATATTACAAATCTTTCGGTTTGAGCTTTCTGAACGCAAATCAAAGTACTAACTATTTGACACATCTGTATAATTTATGCAATTCAAAAAAAAATGTGTCATTTTTGTACCAAAAAGTTATCGACTAAACTCAATTTTAGTAGCATTGTTTAATTTGCTTGTCTTATTTGCTATCCTCCTTACCCCTCATAATTGCGTACCGCACTCTGTAAAAACAGAAAATAATCAATTACATGGATTTTTATAGTCAGTCTCCATAAATTTCAAAAAAAATTGATTATAATCGATTAAAAATGGATTGTAATTTAAATATTTTTTGAAACAATAAAAATCATCATAATCGTTTATATATGATTATAATAGACTATTTTTTGAAAAATTGTTTTCTCAAATTTTATTGACATATAAACCATTATAATGATTTTTAATCCAATATTATTCAACAATTGTGTCATCGCTTCATTCCTTTTTATTTTTGTTTTGTTTTGTGTGCTTTTCAGTTGGTTACCGAACTAAAAGAAACTGTAATTTTTACTTATAGCAGGGGCGGTTATAGGGGTGGGGGCTGGGGTTTCCCCCTTTGAGATATCCATTTTTGGTGCCTAAACACTTTCTAAAGGCACCTTTGGCGCCAATATATATATTAAATTTGAGAGGGGAGAGCGCACCAAAAAAACGTGATATCCAGATCAAAATTTCCCAAAAATTGTCTAAAAACGCCTTTTTGGCCTGTTTTTTTTTAAATTTTGCCTGCGGCGCAGAAAGTTTGATCAAAATGGGGTCTTTATAGTGAGTTAGGAGTGCTGATAAAATCAATTTGGTAAAAAAAGGTCAATAAATATTTCAAAGACCTATTTTTTGAAAACCCGCTCCCCTCCCCGATAAAGTCCTAGATTCGCCCCTGCTTATAGCTCGAACTGACATTAAATTTGATTTTTACTGTATTTTCTTTCAGAATAGCTTAATTATAATCCATTATAGCTGAGTTTTTTGTGAGACAATTTTTTGATAGAAAAAGGGGTTATAATCTATTATAATAGATTATAAGAGTTTTTCGGAAAAATTATAATCAATTATCATTGATTATAGTTTAATACAATGTTCCCAAAAATATTATCATTATAATGGATTATAAATCGTTTAAACATCTAAAATTGGCTACTATAATTTATTATAGTTTTGCTAAATTTACGATTACATTTATAATATAATGGATTATTTTCTCCTTTTACTGAGCGCGGGTAACCCCTCTTCTCATTTTAAAACCCACACTTACCTCCTCCCCTTCAATTTAAATGAGAGGTATGTAAGTGGCTGGTGAGGGGAGGAAAAAGCGTCGGCGTAGCTTATTCAAAACGTCGATAACTTTCTCGACGTGAAAAAAAAGAGCCCAACAAAGACTTTCACGCAACGTTTAAAACATATAAAAAGTTTTGACCAAGTTGCATTTCTCAGGTCAAATCCCTGATGCGGACATTGGTCAAATGTGCGGCAGGCGCGAATCCGGCAATGCATTAGAGAACTTTTTTAGGATACTAAGAAACTTCCAACAAATAGGGAAAATTTGAGGAGAGAAAAAAACAACCAAAGTAAACTTCACTTTAAATAAACAACAGCCAAGTTTTGAAAAAATGGTGGGCAGTGGGCGGAAGCAGCTTTTCGAAACACTTTGAAAACTGGTTTTAAACACTTAGCGAGAGTATTTTGTGAAAGCAGGTCAAGTCTATTTTCTTAAAAATGCCAGAATAAAACTAGAAAAAAAAACACAATTAGAGTGTCCATTATAGTGGTTGCTGTAGCGTGCCGAGGGTGGGGAGGGGAGCGGGGGCTTTCGCCTCCCTCTTCCCCTCAATTCTTGTTGCCAAACTTTGCCGTAGAGTCCCCACTTTGGTATAACTTTACGACATCCATTTTTGGCTGACCAACCTCAAAAAGTTTCTAAAGGTGTCTTCGGCGCCAATATAGCTAATTTGGCGGGGGGAGCGCGCGCAGAAAATACGGATTTTTTTGTCAAAATACTCCAAAAAGCGCCCAAAACTGCAGTGTTTTAGCCGGTTTTTGACACACTTGCATGCGGCGCAAAAGTTTCGACAAAATAGGGTCCTCAAAGTGTTTTTGCAGTACTGGTCGACCCTAAAAAAGGTCCGAAAGTTCAAACTTCTTCAAAAAATAGACCCAACCCCCCCCCCCCCAGAAAAATTTCTGCGCATGCCACTGAGTGCACTGAGTGGCTGTAATCTGATTGAAAATGACTTTGTCGCTCAATAAGTACTGGCATTAGGGTTCATTTTCAAGTAAATTTTTTTCATTTTTTTAAACGATTTTAGAGAAACTCATAAAATAATCGACTATTACTGCATGGAGTTTCGGTGCGGGTAATCTTTAATCCAACAGACGCTTTTTTAGTGATTTACAAAGAAACCTTTCAGTTTTCAAGATGTTATAATTAGCCAAAAAATCTTCAAGCATTAGATCTACA